TTTTTTTTTTTTTTTTTTTTTTTTTGCGCTAGGTCGGACTACCCCTGTCCGATCGGACGTCCGACCAGACGTCCGGTCGGACATCCCGGATGGTCAGGGGGGTCCCGGACGTCCGATCCAACAACCTAGGTTTTTATTCCTTTTCTTTTCTTTTTTTTTTCCATGCTCTCACGCGGATCGACAGTGTCTACCTTTGGCACATGCCGTTGGTGCTGCACAATATTCAAAACGCATCTGGAGCTGTGTAAGTCCCAATACATTCAACATGTAGAATCAGTCCAGCTGTAGCGCAAAGCCCTTGGCCTATTGCCCATGCGCAATGATGACACATAATGATACCCCTCACATATCGAGAAATGGTCCAAATCACAAGTAAAAACAAAAAGAATCCATTGGGAATGAGGCAACGTTTGCAACAAGGACCATCACTAGTTCTAGCCTCTAGGTACATTTCAAATGTTGTGCAATGAAGAGAGGCCCTCGTACGTGCAAGAGGGCATGAACAGTTCATAAGATCCGTTGCTCCATTAAACATTCAAAATGTATCTGCACACTGTAAGGGCGTTTGGAGGCATGGTGAAGGTGCACATGGCTATTGATGATCGCTGCACGCTTAACCCTTTCTGCTTTTGTAGTGTCTTCCAGACCAATTAACCTACAGTCGGATTACTTCCAGGTGAAGGTGGAATTCTGAGAGCATACTTACAGGAGGACTTTTTTGACTGAGCTCTGAACGTGATTGCAGTCGGATTACTTCCAGGTGAAGGTGGAATTCTGTTCGGATGCATCCACAGAAGTCCTACTGTTTTGCCCTGGACACAATGCACCCTGATTATGAATGTATACAAGCTAGCATTGCGGTCCCATACAGCGAAAATTAGGGTGCGTTATGTCCGGGGGAAGACGGTAGTGTGAGTATGCCCTGAGTGTGACGAATATGAGTTTTAGACTTTATAGGTGAGATGTCAACTGTATTGTGGGTTGTTCTTCATGTCATGCTGCAGTCCATCCATGCGATGCTGTTGGACAGGCCCTTGGATGATCAAGCCCGTAGAACTTCAGCAGCTCTAGATAAACGGTTCCCTGAACTCCTGGCGATCCTTTTTCTTCTCTGACACCATGTGATCTGAAGATTCTCTCAGCGAGAGACCTCAGTGGGTTGCCTGTAGCCAGAAAGCTGTGAAGACAGTCTGAAAGGTAGACAAAGACCAGTGTGTTGACCAATTTTCTCTCTGAATGTGTGGATGTGTGTGTGCGCATGTTTGTGTTCGGAAGAGAGAGAGAGAGAGAGAGAGAGATTTCAAAATGGCGATAAACATACATACTACATCTTGATCCATGTGAGCGATGCCCTAAGACGAGAGAGAGAGAGAGAGAGAGAGAGAGAGAGAGAGAGAGAGAGGTTTTGGGGTCGCTTTTCTTATCCAGACTGTTCTTTCAACCCTGAGGAGCATCAGGCTGGTTTTCCACTAGGAAGTAAAAAAGTATTATGATGAAAGAACTGCATGCTTCCTTCATCAGGGCCAAAGGACCCCTGACCAGCATTGATTCCTTCTCTGGAAGGAGGATGGATTGGCAGACAAGCCTTCTGTCCATCCTTAGGGCATACTCAAACTCCTACTTTTTCTACAAAGCTCAGGATGGAATAACAGTCAGATTCATCCTGGTCTGCCCGTAATTGCAGTCGGATACATTTAGGAAAGTGCTATTGTGAGTAGGCCCTTTGATTCCTCTCAGTCCCCACCTGCCGGAACTTCCAGATTTCAATTTGAACACTACCAGAGTCCTCGAATCGTAAGGCGCTGACCAAGATTCAGCGTATTCTCTGATGCTGTCCACCAGGCTTGACATTATTAAATGATTTTTATTTTTATTTTTTTGTTGGCCCGAAAAATGTTGATTGTCTCTTTGTTTGGATTTTATGGGTTTTCTGTGCAGTGTTTGGGGGTGCGGATCATCCAGTTGTTACCCTCACAGTGGATGGGGAGCTGACTGCTGATGGGGGGGATTGCACCCCTCCACATGATAGTGTTGATAGGCCGGGCGGGGGAGGGGGTTCAGGGGGGAGCATACTGCTTTTTCTCCAGATGCTGAAGACTGGCAATGGATCGGTCATCTCATGCAGAGGTGGGCGTGGGTGCCCGGTCGGTGGAGGCGGCGGTGCTGGTGGACGAATCCACTTTGAGTGGGCCATGCTGACCACAGGCGAGGACTACATCCTCCGGGCAAATGCAAGTGGATCTATCGATGTCAGGTACACACTGGAGCTTTGCTACTTTTCACATTTGCACAAACCTAATCCCGTGCCTTCTTTGAAGTTTTCCATGTGCATGTTTTCCCAATCTAAACCTGCCCGTTGTTTGCCACCGAATGGCACCCGACTTCAGACGTCATCGCAGTCTTTAGCCAAGTTTACTGCTGGTCCATCTCTGCATCTTCTCCGAACTATCTCTGAACCTTCCCGAACTCCCTTGACTGTTCCAAAACTCGGCATCGTCCTCCGGGGATGCCTCTGCCCCTTATCTGTCACTGCTTTGACTAAGGCTCCTTTGACGTTTTTCTACCCTCCGGAGTTGTGTTCCTTTGACCGACGCTCTGAGCCTCTGGGCCTCAGCGGCTTGCTGAGGCAGCTTCTGCTGGCCCGAGGCTTCATGCATCCCAGGAGACCCTAGATTCACCCCTTGGCTTTGTGTCAATTCTTGGATGCGCACGGGATCTGTGGCCTCGGCGGTTTGCTGAGGCAGCTGCTGCTGGCCTGAGGCTTCACGCGTCCCAGTAGACCCTGGATTCATCCCTTGGCTTTGCGTCGATTCTTGGACGCGCATGGGATCTTTGGCCAAACTTCCCGGCTGTTGACGTCCTGAGGCTTCTGGAACAACCTTTGGCTCTCGGTCTTTGCTGGTCAAACTGGGCCCGACCTTTGACTTTCTGAGGCTTGCACTACCTGAATCCAGGACTGCCGGGCCCAGTAGGCTTACCCGTAATCTCAGTCCTGCCACCCCGAGGACATTTCCCAGACCCTTTTCTTGGTTTCTGTTCGCTTTGAGGGAAGCCTTGCTTATGGTCAGAACCTACTCATGCTATGTTTATGGTAGGAAAGCATGAACCGGGCCGTGATAGCATCCAGTTTCGGTGTCCTCCAAGCAAAGAACGTAGCCCGGGTGGGGCCTGAGAGACTGACCTGGCTGCCTGCTGGATTGGGGTGTTTGAACCTGCTTCCCTCCGAAATTGAATTCATCTCTAATTTTCCCTTTTTTCTTCAAACTCCTCATATTCTGATTGCCTCAATCTTTCTTCCCGTCCTATGAATACGATTTTGGGCACGTAAAACAAAACAAAACAAAAAAAAAACACGATCTTGGGCACATGTTGCACCATACGATAATGCGCACTGCAGTACAAATGCAATAAGTGCCAATAACCCATGTATGCCTCGTGGAAAGTCTGAGGGCTCCTGGGCCACACTCAGACCCAGGCCGAAAGGGAGAATAAACCCTAAGTAAAGATTCAGGGCCTGGATGGGATACAGTTGACTAAAGTCAACTGTCGGAGACCCAACAGTCAAGTCAAAGTGTACCCAGCCCAGGCCCGGTCAGATGCACACACTTGTTTGTATGCAGGTACCCAGACAGCATCCGGACCAAGGGGAAATCTGCAACTGTACACATCCAGGCCCTCGGCTGTGAGTCAATCTGTACGACTGTGGGGAGGGGACCCGAGGCCAGACAGCCTCGGCAAACACTACAAAGGGACTGGCCTCGAGGTGGTCAACATTCAGTCTTGCCGTGCTGCTTGGACACTGGCTCGACTCTGGCTGTACGCTGGCATGACGCTGGCATGACGCTGGCGAGACGCTGGCTGTGCGCAGGCACTGTGGACGATGACGCAGGTCTGAGGCATCGTGCTGGCGCTGTCTATTCTGTGCGCCAGACATTGCTCATGTGGCGCATGCCACTTGTCTGCATTGCTGATGTGGCGCTGCCACCTGTCTTCATTAGTGATGTGGCGCATGCCACCTGTCTGTACTGCTGACGTGGCAATTGGCCACGCTGTCTGCATGAGGTGACTGGTTGCGACAAGGAGGGAGATCGGGATCTGTGGTTGATTGAGGGACGGGATACTTACCTCTGGCTGACGTAGATATTGCGCCATGCTGGTTGTCTTCATTGTCTCTTTGAGAGAGTAGTGCCACGTGGCACTTCTGTGTGACCGGAACTTATCAGACTTGTTACTGTTATTGATTGATGACGTGGAGGGAGAGGAAGCCCTGAGAAGAAGTGGGATTGGTTGGTTACTATTGTGTGATCTTTGGTCTACCTCTTCCACCTTCTCCCTTGTCTATCCTCCCTCCAGTCTCTTCGTCTATTGGTAACGAGATACTGTTGCAGATATCATTTTCACGTTAACTGGAGACTTCGTAGAGACCTGAGACTACTGGAACTTCGACGTCTGATGAGTATCTCCCTGACTGGGTTCATTGCACAAAACTTGTTCTCACGGTTATCTGCGTATGAATGAATCTCGACTACCGTCTTCACCCATATTTCATGCCCTCTTATTATCACTCTATCTAGACTGAAACTTACAGAGGAGCATCCTCAAATGGTATGCAATGCATTTTGCTCTAGAAGGCGAGAAGCATAATATTTTTCTTGTCCTTTTTGCTTATGGCATCCTTGGATTGGTGTGTTGTGGTCGTGTGGCAGTGGAGGCAATGGTAGTAACGACGGGGGGAGCGGCGATAACGGGACATTGACAACGATCGATTGCCCCCTGGGACTGTTTGGTGTTTTCTGTGAGGTGGGAAATTGCATGCTCAGATTTGCTCTTCTATTTTCGTTTGCTTGATTCCTGTTTATGAGCCTCTGCCTCCCACATGGTTTTGTTTTCCCCACTTGTATTGGACTGTATTTTTTTAATTTTTTTTTCCAATGTTCGCTGAACAAACCTTATGACCCTGGCTCCTGTCTGGTTCCTTTTCCACGAGCATGTCATCGGTAAATTTGGTAATCTGTTTAACACACGTAACGAAGAGCACTGATCCTTCTTTCCGTTATGGCGGAAGGAACCTGTGAACAGCAAAATTGCTTGCTCCCTTTGGGGGGGGGTGGGGGCTTGATTGTCTGGAAAACAGTGGGAAATCTTGTCTTTTTTTTTTTAACAACCAGTTGGCTCTGCTACTGTCTTCTCCCGAACATAACGCATATGCGGTAAAGGTATACAACCATAGTTGCCGCGCACCTCGGTGTGCGAATTGTGCACGAATTGCGCACCGAGCGCAGCGCACCGCACAGCGCATCGAAGCGCAGCGCTTTAGAGAAATTAGGTCGAAAAAAAAAGAAAAAAGTAGGGGTTTTGTAACTTTTTAGGGCCCCCAGCTCGGCAAGAATGTTAAACTCACCGCGTGAGCGTGGAAACCGGCCGCGCTCCCGGCCCAAATTTTTCTTTTGGGTAAGGGCTGCCGAAATAATTTGATTTCTGCAGGCCTGTCTTTTCTTTTTTTTTTTTTTTTTTTTAATCGCGCACAGGGCACACCTCCCTCAGAGCGCGCACCGCGCACAGCGGACCGCACTGTGCACTGCGCACAGTGTGCGCACAGTCATTCCAGCGCACAGCGCAGTGCGCCCCGCCCCGCCCCGCACTGCGCACTGGTGCGCCGCAACTATGAATACAACTCATAGGTTGCTTTCTGTTCGAATACAACGGATATGTGTTCTATTCGAATAACCCTAATTTCGAGTACCACGCATACACGTTCTATTCGGATGTTTCAACTTTTTTGAAAACTCGAATACAACACATATGCGTTATGTTCGGGGGAAGACGGTTGTCGTGGCGATACGAGCCCCCACCACTAGCAGCCCACCTGTTGGCTCCAATCTATTGGTGAGGACGTCTTTGTGCCAGAGCTTTTTGTAATTGTGGCTTTTGTAATGCGACGGGTAGCACGAGTTCCATGTCAGCAGGGTCGTGCATGCATATGGGGCATATTCATGCGAGGAAAGAGCGAATCTGTCTATGTTCTTGCCAGGAGAGTACGAAGCTGACTGGTATTCCTTCTAGGTTCATGCTTTTGCAGCTTGAACACTGCACCGGTGGGCCTTGCTCTGCAGAGTAATAGCATACTAGCGCAATCATTCTGTTTGCTTGTTCGGCGTGGCTGTTGGTTGCTGAGCGCAATCGTATCGCACTACTTGGTTTAGTGTCAAGTTTGTTTCTCTGAAATTTCACGGCATTCGTGGATGTCAGGAACTATCAATGCCGCCATCTGGGGGGGTGGGAGTACCTGTTGTGAGGGACGCTCGACTCAGGTTGCAGCCGCTTTTTTGTTTGGTTGTTTTTTTTCAAAAATTAACTTCATTATCGTAGTATAGCCACTACCGTCTACCCCCGAACATAGCGCACCCTGAAAATGAACGTATTACAAGGTACGTTTCTGCCCCGATACAGTCAAAATGAGGGTGCGTTGTGTTCGGGGGAAGACGGTAGTGGCCCACTGCTGTTTTCAAAATTTCCAGTTCCCATCAAAGCACAGTCGTCTGTGAAAAAGTTGGTATGTATAGCCAGCCACTCAGTACCGTCTTCCCCCAAATAGATTGCATGGGCATTACATCTGTATCTGGACTGAAAGTTGCCACGAATACAGCTATAGTGACGGTGTGATGTATTCGGAGGAAGACAGTAGTGCTGGTTTCTGGATTTGAAAAACAGTATTGTCAGTGTGAAAGGTTTATTTTTTCACATATGCAAGGAGAGGGTTTGTGTGAAAACAAGGGCAAAAGTATGGGGTGGATGGAGAGAGAGGATAAGAGGCAAGGGTAGTGCGTGAAAGCATTTGTTTTTGCCAGGCTCGAGCTAACTACAGTTCCACCCTCTACGTTCTTCCCCCGAATACAACGTACGGTCGTTATAGCTGTATTTGAGGCATCTTTCAGTCTAGATACAGCTTTGATGACCGTACGTTGTATTCGGGGGAAGATGGTAGCTCTGCCGCTCAAGTCAGAGCTCAGGCTGACTCACTCTCTTGGCGGAGCAGCAGCATGACTGTTGGGCCAAGGTGCCACTGTACTCATCGTCATATCAGCGAATGATATACTCTTGCCTCCCAGCCTCGAGTCTTTCCCTGGCCGGGTGGCGCTGACTCTACGGGTGCACCAGGCCTGCCGCAAGCTGTTGCCTTTCGGCGGGAGCAACATTGCAGTCTGCATGGGCTGAACCTAACCTGAAAGGTGCCTAAAAGCGGGCCCAGAATACTCTAAAATGTGTGAATTTCGGCAAATCAAGCCGATAAGCAGCAATACTCAGAAAACTGCTGATCATATCTCAGATGGATTCTGTGCGGAAGTGCCGAGCTGCACTGGTGCTATGGTTAGAAAGCATGAACCTGGCCATTGTTACAGCCAGGGTTGTGCTTTTTCTAAGCAGGAACATAGAACTGGTTGTGGGTGGTCCTGACCCCAAGGTTTATCCTCTCCCTGTCCTGTTTTATTTACGGCTGCCACAAGCTTCAAGTTATCCCTGTGGTAACTTTTCTGACACCTCTAGCTTCAAGTCCTGAAGCGCTAAAGGATTGATAGTGCATGCTCTCACAGTTTGTATTTGCACTGGAAATCAAAATCAAATGAGGTTTTGCTCTTTTGCTCCACAGGAGATCTCTGTTCTCATTGAGCTCACGCAGGTGTCCTAAGATGAGCTCCCTGTCCTGTTTTGGCAATGACGCTACTGGAACTCTCGCATCACAGTTCTTTGTTCCGGCATGCAGTAGGCAAAGGCAGTGTTTGCCTGCAAGCTGTTTGCAGGACTGCGTTAGGCCAATTACCGGAGTCTGAATGACTCTCAAAGCCATCTGTGTCTCCAAGCTGCTGAACATAATGTCTGTGGCCGATGGCTGAAACTATTACCCTCTGATAGCTTGTTTGTGGCACTTCCGAGTTGTCGCACTTAATGGGAAACGTTTGTGCCCTCACCAGACCTTCACTTTCTGACACTTGGTACACAGCCAGCGCTCGCCTGCAAGTTGTTTGCCGGGGTGTGTAGATCCGCTCTTGAACTCTGGAAGAGGTTCTTGGTCTTCGAGCTGTTTGAGAGTGTGCGGGGCCCATAGCTGAAGTCTGCCTGCCTTCACCAGTCCCAAACGCTGCCCGGTGGGGCTCAACAGAACCCGACCCCCCCCCTGTGGCATTTAAAGGAATCGTGATCGGGTTCCCTTGCTTCACTTTTGTCTCCAGTGCATCAGACTTTGGATGTTTGGAGGATTCTCTTTATTTATGTTGCCTCTTTCTTGGTTTTCTGGTTTTTTTTTTTTTTTCCTTTTCGTCTGTTCGTGGGTGAACAATCCGACACTTGGTGAATTCTGCTTAGGAAGAGCCGGCATGGAGGTGTAAAAGCAACATCGCTATGAAGTAGTATGAACGCTTGGCTGCCACAAGAAGCAACACTGAGATTTAGAGGGTGGGATGCTTGCTAAGAGAAGAAAGAAAGAAAAAAAGGGAAGCAATCAGCGCTGTCAGGATCCCTAAAGTCCTATCAGTCACATTAAGGAGAAAAAAACAGGGCTCCTTTCCGTAGGCAAGTACTCAATGGCCCTGACTCGAGATTTCTTGACCGTAATGGAGAGATGCGTTGGGTGAGTAAAAACTGATGCAAGGGACGCTGGAACCGGATTCCAGCTTTTATCAATACAAGTTTCCTTTTTTGTAAGAAAGAAAAGAAATGAAGAGGTCATGATGTCTGCCAGGTGCAGAGTCGGAGCTTGCCCTCACCTTTAGGCTTTTGCGTTCTTGGGTTGTTTTCGTTTCTTTTCATTTTGGGTCCCTGGCTGGGGTTTTCATTTTTTTACCTTGTGTCTTGGGACCCTATGCCTCGTCTTTTGTGGGTGTGCTTTTTCTTGTGCATTGTTGCACCAGGAATGCCCAGTTGGAACGTACAAGGACACCGTTGGATCGAATAAATCTCTGTGCCGTCCTTGCCCGAGGGATAAGTTGCCGGTCCATGGCACATTTACGCATCGTCGAGGTGAGTGGATTACTGGATTACCCTTTTTCTTGACCATGTTTTGCAGCAAGGCCATCCCCATGTTCCTTACTGGTGAAAAATATGGTGAGGCGTGAACAGACGACACCCGTTATCTCTATCGGATGCGTTGTAGAACGGGAACGGCGACAGATTCTGGGCCAAAGAAGAAATGAACGGAGGATCCATTATCTAGCAGCAGACCCTGGTCCAAAGACAATAATGGCATACTCGTACTCGCACCACCAACTGGCCTATCTCAGTTGGTACACCCAACTGAATTCTTGAAATATAGACCAGGTGCTGAGTTCAAACTCCACTGGAAGCAGATGAGTGAAATACTTACTACAGTAATTCTGAATTACCTAGGGCCGGTCAGTTTGACGATCATGTATCAAGGCCGTGGCGCTATGTTTAATACAAAAAAAAGGACCTTATCCCAATCGATTCCCCACATGGGAGAATGCGCCAGTTTGGTAACTTCTTCTTGGAGGCAGTGGCGTTTTCCCTCTTTTTTTTGCCCTGAAGAAAATGACTGAGGATACGACCATTATGCTCTTGCAGTTTGTATCCGTGATAGGCATATGGTAAGGCTGTAGTCACAGTAGGACCTTTTCGACTGATCTCCGCGTCGTAATTACAGTCAGATATTTTCAGGGCGGGCTGGAATCGCGGAAAGAGTCGTTCGGGAAAGTTGTATAATTGTGAATATGCCCCTTGTGTGTGAGCTTTGTCTGCAGACAAAGAATTGGCATGTGTGCGTTCTTTTGTGTCTGTTCTTGTGGTGCGCTGTAAAGTGCTACGTCTGCAATAATCTGACTGTGTGTCGTTGCTGCAGGTGGGGTGATGGAACTTCCATGCCCATACAAATGTATCAATGACAAGTATAGCCTCCCGCATTGCAACACCCCCATTCAAGATCTAATTGAGCATTTAGGGGGAGCCACGGTGTTTGCGACAATGATGATTGGGGTGATGCTGCTGCTGGCACTTGCTTTGAGCGTCGCAAGAATGAAGTTTGTGTCGGAGAAGGAGCTCGATGCACCGACGACCCCACGGACCCCGGATAATCACCCGACAGACCACTCGGCTCCGTTTTTGGAGTCTCTCAATGAGGTGAGCGACAGTGGGAAGGAGGGAGGGACAAGGATGGGTTGAGGTGTCTGGCAGCTTCATCCTTGTGTTTGGATGAGCTGTCAGTTTTGTTTATGGGATAATAATTGGTAATTTGGTAGATACGGCCCACACAAAATTTGTCGATACGGTCCACGGGAAAACGCTTTTGGTTCATCGCACCTGAACTTTTCCGGTTCGGTAGAAAGGAAAGCAGGAGGAAAGCAAAGAACTACATTCGCACGAAACGTAGTCAATACAATACCACGAACAGCCAGCAGTGGACAGCACACGGGACAACATCTGATTCAAAAAAGACACGTTCACCAACGGTGGGTTAATCGCAATCTTGCGTGCTGCCCAACGATGCTAATGAGTGTTGAAACACAACCCGTCATCCCTCCTACCCTCACCACTCTCCTCCGCTACCTCGCCCGCACCCAGGTTACACCACCGCCTCAAAGGAAAAACTTCCTGCCATCAGGTGGTATACCGCCACCGCCATCGGTCCCCCTTTGAGAATCACCTTCCTGACTCATTGCAGGTAGAGATAGTATCTCCACGTGCCTACACAGTCAACGAAACAAATCACTCGCAACTCCTTAACTGAGCTCACTTTTGCCTTGAATCAACAGCCGCCACCTCCGCTAGGTACAATTGCCTAGATGGTTACGACCCTAGGTAGTAGGAAAGCAAAGAACTGCATTCGCACGAAATGTAGTCAATACAATACCACGAACAGCCAGCAGTCGACAGCACACGGGACAAGCCCAAAGCTGCAAGTTCAACAATCAACATCTGATTCAAAAAAGACACGTTAACCAATGGTGGGTTAATCGCGATCTTGCGTGCTGCCCAACGATGCTAATGAGTGTTGAAACACAACCCGTCATCCCTCCTACCCTCACCACTCTGGTGTTCAAATCTGACGTGGGGGGCTCAACCCTGCACAGTCGGCCTCTTTCTATCACTGAATTGTGAACCTGGTGCTGTATTTGCAGCAGATTCATTTTCCGCTAGTGTTTCTCAACATTTTAATCAGACTACTTGCATGTTGTTATTTTTGAGTTTGGGTGAGCTGTCAGTTTTTTGTTTATTATGGGATAATAACTGGTCGTAGATACGGCCCACGCGCAATCCTTTTTGGTTTATTGTCGCCGAACTTTGGTGGTTTGGCATAAAAAAGGGCCTACCAGAAAATGAATCTGCTCCAAATACATCACCAGGGTTATGAATCGGTGGTGGAAAGAGGCCGAGTGCGCAGGACTCTCTCGGACGCCGGATTTAACACCAGACGGCATGCAAGGCCCGTGCGCCCTTTCTACCGAACCGGAAAAGTTCAGGTGCAACAAACCAAAAAAACCTAGGGAGATATCCTGGGTGCCCGGGTCCCGATGTCACGCCCGGATTGGCGACCGGGTGACCGGCCGGGCATGACCCCCGGGCAGCCTCAGCGCAAAAAAAATAAAAAATAAAAAAAAATCAAATCCAAAAAAATCTGAAAAAAAATTATGTTGTGTAGAATTGCAATACGAACAACTTTTGGCTGAAGGGTCACATCAGAATTCCTCACAGAACTAAAGATAAAAAAGAAAATAACCATATCACACTAAGGCACCCCCCTTTAAACCCCTCTAGCCCCTTCAAATTTCATTTACACTCCCCTTTCCCCCCCTTGACAGCCAACACTCAAAAAAAGAAAAGAGCCCGGATTTGGGCTCCTCTCGGAGAGCGCGGAAAAACCCCACCGCCATTTTTTAATATTATTATTATTATTTTCAATGACCGGGTCACCCGGGCGTCACGCCCGGGTGACCGGCCGGTCCAGACCAGCCGGTCATGAAAATCTTCCTAGGAAAAAACAGTTTTCGCGTGGTCCGTATCTCCCAATTATTCGTTTGTTTATTCTATGTTGTCACCATATGCGTGCTCACTTCTTGTCTTGTTGTGAATCTGTGATTAGGGAAATACTCGAAGCTTGTGCCACACGCCTGTGAACGCCCATCGCTACTATAGGTCTCCTTGTTCGCCGTGTTGCTGCCGTGTATAACACCCTAATGCTCCGATAGTAACATATACACAATTAGCACATCCAGTCTCCCTCAGCCTGGTTCTTGGTCCATGCTGCCGTGCTTTATTGCTATACTTTATTATTTTTTCAATAAGTCACGTTCGGGAGTTTCTACATTCATGCGTATCATCCTGATTTTTTTGTGTCTTCATGCATGCTTTCTATTTCTATGATCTACGTCGACCCTCTGGCTCGGTCTGTCCTTTCCTTCTTGTTCTTGGTCTTGGTTCATGTTGTTGACCTCGTTGATAATTGCATACTCACGAAGTTGATGTGGAGATCACCTACTACTGGTTCCTGGTTTGGTTCTGCGCTGCCCTAACCATGCCGGTGGTGGTGCTGTATAAATTTGGGTAGACTTTTGTATTTGTCGTTTCTTGCTTCATTCTCAAGCTTTCATTTTTCAAAAACAAAAACCTGCATTGGAAAATCATTCCAAACGTTTTTGTATTTGTAGTTTCCTCAACTTCCTGGCGGGTGGATGAAGCGCCGCATAGGTAGGGACTCGCCAGCATGGCACCGAGACTTGCTACTCTTTTGAATATTTCAGTCCCCGTTTTTCGCGCGTAATTCGTGATGCTCCATGGCTTTGCTTCGCTTTGCTTCTTCTCTTTCTCCCTCCCATTCCTTCGTTTTTCTTTCGCATATGTGCTTCTTCGCATTCCCTGATGCCTTTTGGCCTTTGCATCTGATTGCATCACCCATCCAGCTTAGTTCTCAAGTTTTCAATTCTTTTTTTTTTTTACCTGCTAAGAGTCCTAGGAGCCCATTGGAAAATCATGCCATGCAAAAAACAAAAACAAAAACAAAAACAAAAAAGAGCCAAGGGTGTTCGTCTATCTAAGGCTGCGAAGGGACCCCTCTGGTGGGTTTTAAATACCCGACAATCCAGCGAGTGCTTTGGATTTGCGCTTGGCGATATGCCAGCTTGGTCCAACTTCGGAACTGACATCATCAGTCGTTGGTTCCTCGCTGCGGTGATATTGCAAAAAATAATGTTATTCGGACTTATTCCTTTTGTTAAATTTTTAAAACGGCCAGTACCTCCAAGCCTCTTTTTCCCATGGCGTATTTCCTCGGTGCGGCGTGCGCCCCCCAAAAAAAGAAGTGCCACGAATGCGTTTATGTTTTTATTTTGGCTGTCACAGCCAACCATTTTGGTCTGGTAGCTGTGCTCGTCCAAAAATCCCGTGGCGCGGCGATAGACAAATTTCAAATTTGTCGTAAAAAGTTTGCCTCAGAGAGGTACCGGTCGTTTCAGAGCAAAAAAATCGTTCTTTTCCAGCTTGTAAGATATTCTTTTGAATTTTTGGTGTTCATTTTGAGCCTTTTTTGGCTTGTTTCGAGTCTTCTGACCATAGCAATTTTTCATTTTCCCCTGTAACAGAGTGTTTTGTACCGCCATGCAGCACACAGTTCTCTGCACAGGTAGTCAACGAGTATGCTAGCGCTGATCGGCCTGTATACGGCAAAGTGGATGCTGTTGTGTTGGGGTGCATGTTTTGTGGGGTGTGTCTGCAAATGGGCTGTGGATGGGAGAGGGGCTGCAGAGAAATGTTCTGTGCAGTGTGTGTGCGCGAATGGGCTGTGGATGCTGTGTGCTGCTCACATACTTGTGTTGCTTTGTTGGGTTGAATTGCAGGTGATGAATGTGCTGAGAGTGGAGGAGCCACCAACTCATATGCACAGGGTATACTTCATGGGTTCAAACTCGTTCTCCGAGCCATGGCACCTTCCCCACAGTCCTCCAGATCAGATACTCGACATTGTGTGAGTTATAGTCCCTTTTCCCAGCCGTGACCAAATTGCGTAGCATTCTTTAAATTCCTTTTTCTTTTTTTTCTTTTAATGATCCTTCACCCTTTGTGCGCATTGCCCGTCGCTCCCGTCGATTGAATTGTCATGTGAAATGTCTGGATCGCGGTGATCTGGGCAGTTTGCCCGTTGGGGGTGCTGTGAGGAGTTCATCGAATGCGACCCTTGTCATTTAGAGGAATGAAAAGTCGTAGCAAGGTTCCGTACATTGTGCGCAGTTTTTTTCTTCACTGGCAGGAGGTCATTCCAAGGACGGAGTTTTGTTCTGAGCTGCACTGTCTAGAACTATATACTGGGTGGCTCTTCCTGGTCCTTTGTTTTTTCCCCTCTTTCTCCCCACCCCCCCCCCCCCCCCCCCCCCCCCTTTTTATTTCCCCCCTCTTTTTTCTTCCCTTTTTTTTTCCCCCTTTTTCTTTTTGTGGGTGTTAACCCCCCTCAGAAGACCCTCTTCCTGGTCCCCTATGCCCTGAACCTTGTCCAACAGGGTTGGTTTTACGGTGTCCAAACTTGTTAACTTCGTCGTCAGCCCAGAGTTCTGTCCAATGTGTCTTGTGATGTTGAAGTCCTGAGATGTTCTGTCAAGCTCGGGAACGGCTGCTAGCACGTTGACCAGCGAGTGGCATGCAACCAACCCGTGACTACTTCTGAGGTGAATTCATCCCTTTCAATATGTACTGTTCGAACTCCTGCTCACCCCGTACAGCATGTCTTAGAGGTACTTGTATTGTCGTGTGTCCAGGTTCGTGCTCGTGTATATTTTGTCCATAGTTGGATGGAAGCCCTCATTTCCTCTCTGCCATGACGGACTCCCAGATCTTTAGGATGCGGTGATAGTTTACGCATTCTGGCTGTCCGTGGTTTGATTGGGTGGTATATTGTGTGCACAGCTTTGAGGATGCATACAATCGATTTGCAGAAGAGATAAACACTCTGGCAGCATTCCAGTGGTGGGAAGGATGTGTGTACGGCGTATTATGTGTGCTTTGTTTTCCCTTTGGATGGAGCTGGCAGCAGTGGCGCCGGAGGATGAAGCTGCTGAAACTACAGGAGTTTGCACAGAACGAGTACGATCATGCATGCCTGAGATCTTGCCGCTCGCGGGCACTGTATGAAGGGATTAAGGTACGCGGGAATCTGGTAGCCCAGTGCTCAGAAGCCATGTCTCTGTCTGTTGTCAATGTTCGTTGAGATACCGAAACTGCTCACACCACTTTTGTGAAGGGAATATTGAGGTCCCCAAGGTCGGACAGCAAAATGCGTGATACTCATCGCCCCTCTTTCTGTGATTGTACCTGGAGTGCGAAAACTACTCCCATTTCTGTGCACAAATGTACCATGCGTAGTTTAGCTGTCTAAATGGTTTGACCCATGTTTCGCAAGCTGCGATGTGTAAGAAGACTGTGCTAAGAAAACCGTACAGCTGGGACATCCGTTAAAATTGCAACGATACACAGAAGGGTAATTAGCATGGCACCTGCGCAAGGATGACACGCATAGATCGAGAACTGGTTCACATCAGACGACAAAAAAAGAAAATCATACAGCAAGTGACTGATTTCCTGGACTGTCAGAGGAAACATAATGATGGGATGCCGAGTGGATACTGTCTATTTTCGAAAATGATGGCTAGGAAATGATGGCTGCATTTTAAAACTGCGAATATGACACCAGTCACACCACCATTCTCTCTACCATGAGTGGAGCGAAGCCATCTTATCTCTGTGACAGAAGCGTTGTGCTTCTCTTAAACCTCCAGTACTTGGCCCATACATCGGCCGCAGGCCCTTTTCGTATAAGCGCCGCATCTTTCAGGGCCTCACCGCCGTTGATAATACGGCCTCCGAAAGCCGTATTTGAAAGGGCTGTCATCCGCGTATAGGGGTGAAAACGTTGCTAAACTTGCTGGTATTGTGGGATTAATTCATCACTGCGTGTTGGCCATGCAGAGTACCCGCTGAAAAATTAGTGGCCTTGTGGTAACTATGCCTTTCACATACATCGGCTGCGGGCGAGGCCCCTAACAGTCACCGATAATAAAATTTATCAACGTTAGCCGCCTTTGGACCCCGCCTCTGAAGGCCCCCGAAGAACGCGGTACAGGTAGTATTCCCAAATGGACACACCACTGCGAAAGGTAGTGGCGGTCTAACCCACAAAGGAACTTAGGGGCTAGCCAGATGCGGAATGTGAGGAGCTGTCTCTCTGCGATGCAAAGTTTCTGACGGACCTTTTCGGTGCAGGTCAGCTCGACGCCGGACTTGATTTTGGCATATGTCGACCTGTTTTTGGGAGGTGACGAGAAACGTGCCGATCTTCCACCGAAACTGCATGAACGACTTCCCATGGCAATCCTCTTTGGAGGAGCTGGCACGTACATGGCGCCTTTCCATCTTCATAGTGACGATCTGCTCACAAGATTGATATCGGAGGTAAAGTCGGTTTCCTCTACCTGTAACCCCTCTGCTCTCTGCCCTCCCTTCCACTGACTCCTGTGTTATTTCTGCATGTGGGTGCTCTCCCTGCTATGGTCTTCTTTTTTTTTTCTTTTTTCTTTTTTAAAAAACATCTCTTCTTCTTTGCTTTTTTAACCCCCCTGCTCTCTGCCCTTCCCCCACTTACTCCTGTGTTAATTCTGCATGTGGGTGCTCTCCCTGCTATGTTCTTTTTTTCTTTCTTTTGAAATTTTTTCTTTTTTGAAAACACCTCTTCTTCTTTGCTTTTTTAACCCTGCTGCTCTCTGCCCTTKCTCCACTKACTCCTGTGTTAATTCTGCATGTGGGTGCTCTCCCTGCTATGTTCTTCATTTTTTTTTTATTTTTTTTTTGAAAAACACGTCTCTTTCTTTGTTTTTTAACCCTCCTGCTCTCTGCCCTTCCTCCATTGACTCCTTTGTTAATTCTGCATGTGTGTGCTCTCCCTGCTATGTTCTTTTTTTTTTTTTCCTCTTCTTCTTTGCTTTTGTCCTGCTCAAAGACACTTGTATTTTGCCTTGGGCACCGGGCCCCAAAACAAAAAACATCTCTTCGCAGGCGGTTGCCTGGGGTTATACGAGCACCCCCAGGTACTACCGTGATGCTCGTGGCTGTCCTACTTGTATATTTTTTCAATCCGCAGTCTTGTTCCCTTTCTGTTCTGAAGGAAATTAGCCCCTAACATTATGGTATCCATCAGGATTTGAACCCATGACCTGTTTATCAACAGTTCAACATACCATTTAGCGGCTTTTTAGCAGCAAGCCAGTCTTGTCCTAAACAGTCGTCGTGCACGCTTTCAGCTCGTCGTTTACAGGTTCCTAGGGTCTTTGCAGCAGGCCTGGGACTCGTACGGTCTTATGTTCTGTCTGCTTGGCAATTCTCGACCAGGTTGTACTCCCACGCCATAGTGGACTTGGTTAGTGGTGACTTGGGGTGAGGATAACCAAATGGCCAACTACCGAAGGTGACTGTCATTCGTCTAGCGTCCAATCTCCTTAACAGCTATGGAGCGGCCACACACTTGAGTGTCCCAACTTTGGAAATCTTCTACTTGTCTATGTGCGTGTGTACAAGGAAAAAATAAAAGGGAAACATAATGGTTACCTGGAATCGCCCGCATATGATACGTCCCAGCCGGATAAGGTTGTGCAAACCAGGCCGGGATGTTGTTGATTCTGCGTTTGGCGGCTTGGCCCTTTCCGACTTCTTGTGCTTGTGGGTGGGTGGCAAAGGTGGGCAACTTGAAAATTAGAATATGCCCGCGTGATTTGTTTCATGTTTTGCCATCATTGCTGTCACCTTCGTCATCGTCAGGGTTGCTTTCGCCCTGCCATCGCTTTCGCTATCGTGAGGGGCGTCTTTGCTGATGTTGCGGTCTTCTTCTGGCCTTCCCCCAGCACGCAGACACAGACACACACACACACACACACACACACACACACACACACACACACACACACGCACACCAGCTCAGCTGGAAAAATCCCTCCAAAGTTGAGTAGAGGAGGTAGAGAGGTTGAGAGAGAGGTTGAGAGAGAGGTTGAGAGAGAGAGAGAGAGAGAGAGAGAGAGAGCACCTCAGCTGGAAAAATCCCTCCAAAGTTGTGGAGAGAGAGAGAGAGAGAGAGAGAGAGAGAGAGAGAGAGAGAGAGAGAGAGAGAGACGAAGCAGCACAGCTGGAAAATCCCTCCGAAGTTATGGGGCAGGGTGGGGTGCCCGACTACCCACCTGGGTGGGTGGTGCTGACCAGGCGCGCTCCAGGCACAGTCCTGGCAGGTGCAATGCAAAATATTTAGAAATATGAAAGAAAGATTAATTCAGGAATTGTGCAGAGTCGCACTTTGAACAACTTCTGGCTGAGGTTCATCTTGGAATTCATTATTTTTCAGGATAACACCTAGGACGTTTTCCCGCGTGCCCGTGCACCCAACTTGTGCTTGGATACACGCCCGGGTGCCCGTCCGGGCATGACCCCCGGGCAGGGTTCTGGGCAGCCCCAGCGCCAAAAAAAAAAAGAATCCGGGAAAAAAATGTTGTTTAGAATCGCAATACAAACAACTTCGGGGAGGACAGAGAATGGGAGAGATGGATGTTTGGGCCTTTTGGCTGAGGGTCACATCAGAACTCAAAGAATCGGGGATAAAAAAGAAAACAACAGAATCACACTATGGCACCCCCCTTTAACCCCCTTCAGCCCTTTTAAAGCCAATTTATACCCCCCTTCCCCCCTCCTTGACAAAAAAAGCCCAGATTCGAGGTCCTCTGGGAGAGAGCAGAAAACCAAAAAAAAGAGAATATTTTTTTTTCCTTTTTTTTTTTCACGCCCGGCTACCCCGGGTGTCATGCCCAGGTGCGTGGCCGGCCATGGCAATCTTCCTAGGGTAAAACTAAAATAGAAAACGATAGTTAGCGTGCCTGCTTTTGCAGTCCTTTAAACAACCAGTACCTCAGGGGGTCTTAGGCCCCCTCTGACGCGAATGAATACAGACCCAGCGCACCGATTCATCAACCGTGTTAATGCCTAAAAACGTGATAGGTACCCGTGGTTTAAACAATCACTACCACTCACAGGCAAACTTTTGCGACTAGTTGGTTTTACATTCGCATTCTCGGGAGCTTGGCCTCACGGACCTCTTTGGCTGACAACGGCAGCCCCAAAAAAGAGAGAAAACAGGGGGTGTGACGGTTCATTTTGACCCTGCCGTGCAGCTCAAATCTGCCATGGGTAAAATAGGCTCGGAACTTGAAGTAGTGGTGGTTTAGAAGTTAAAACCTGTTTATAGTATGTAGGAAGATGATACCCCCCGAACCCCGCTTGGTGACCCATCACCACATTGGAAGATAAGACGGGATTCTGACTGCTCAGGTCAAGTGCAGGACTGCCGTGAATTCAGCCCTTTTTTTTACGTTTGCTTTCTTAGTCCTTATGTTCAAGTCTATTATGTTCGATATGAGAGAGATCCGATTCTCGGTGTCCATCGACTTTATTGTTTGCCGAAGCAGATTTGCAACTTGGTACGTGATATTCTTACGTGACCAGCCTGGTTTTCCCAGGAGGGCTCTGCCCTCGTGTGCCCGGTGACACGGGCCGGTAGTCTATGTAGAAGATGCAGTGTTTTGAATTTTCCTAGACCCTTTGTGATGTCTGGCATCAATCACTACTATGGTCCCTCCGTTGCCCTCAGTGTTTGCACTTTCGGGCGATCCTGAATTCCAACCAATTGTGAACTTGGGATCCTTTATGGACTGCTCTGAATATCCCACATCCCAGATACCGGACCGCAGACCACGGACCACGTGGACGTTGGCTTGGGGTCCAGGTGGTCGCCATGCATTGGTGGCAAATAGCATGGGTATGCCTATCCATTTCGCGTTGTTCAGTCCTTTTGTTGTGCTAAGGATCCCGAGTTGGAGCTCATCTTTCTTATGATTGTGCGTTGTTGCAGGTGATGCCGTCTACTCGATGGTACAGACTGGTTGCCGGCTTGAATGCACAGCTGAGGACAGTGAGAAGGGGTTGTCTGCGAAGGACACTCGTGCCGGTGATAACTTGGCTTAATAGCTACGTCAATCCATTGTAAGTCCAATTTCTTGGTTGGTTGGTTGGTTGGTTGGTTCTCCACTGGTGGAGTCAGAATCCATGCTGCTGGTTTCCCTGAGTGCTTGGGACTCTTAAGGTGTGCTTCCCGGGACTAGGTTCTTGTATGCATGAAGCATCGTCGATTGCAGGATAGGACTGAGCATCTTGGTTCATCCGGAGTGTCGGTGTTGAGAGGGGTCAATAGCATGATGTTTTCTAGATGCGGGGATTCATTAGGAGGTTTGCAAAAGGAGGGGGGGGGGGGGGGGGGGGGGTGGGTATTGTAAGATGGTTTTTGTTTAACCACCAGTACCTTTCACAGGCAAACACAAAGTCCATCTAGTAGCCCAGTCCTAAAAAGCCGGAAGCTCGGGAGCTCTGGCTTCACGGACGGCTGGAGACGAGTATAGAGCAGCTGTACTGGGAGGGATCGGCCTTGATCCGCTGCTCAACACACGCCCTCACTGAGGGCACAGTCACACTAGCACCTCTACAATGTATCTGCACAAATGGTTAACAGGTACCCTTTGGTTTTCTTATAAATGACGGTGAAAATTGGGGGGTCGGTTAACCTTCTCTCTGTATCTGATGGTTATCATGGCGTTCGAGATGTTTTCTTATGTTTTTTCCTCCCTTTTTTTTTCCTTCCTCGTTCGTTTTTGGATGCAACTGCCCCGGCTCGACAAAACTCGGTGTGCAGTGAAAATCAGGCTTGACAAAAACAGGCTCGGAGGTAGTGGTGGTGGAAGCAAAAAAAGCAAAAAGGGCAACGACCTTTTGATATCATCGTTGAAGCTGACTGGTCCCGGGTAATTCAGAATTATGTTATTCTGGGCATCTGATTGCATCTGGATTCGATCTCGGGTCTGATTCATATTTCAACAGTTCATGGGTGTACCAACCGAGTTGGGCGCGTTGGTATTTGTAAGATGTTTTACACGTGTGGAGGCTGGGGGGTACTGTCAAGCGGTGCTGCATATGTTGCTTTGTATTTCATGGGGTTGGGAGTGGGGAAGAGTGGGTGTGAGGGAAAGGGTAGCAAAGGGGTTCTCAAGGAGGTCTCCAAAAGAGGGGGTATTGTTTCGGGCTCCAGGAATTTGCAGGTTGGGGGAGCGTCAAGCGGGGCTGCATATGTGGGTTTTTCATGCGATGGGTGCCCCCCCAGTGCACACATGGGCCTGGCTTGCCAGCTTCGTGTTGCCAGCCAAATCCGGGTTGGCCCAGGCACATTTGTTATCCCAAGCATTGTTCATTGTTCTTGAAGGATGCTGGGCGCGGTTCGCGGCATGGGAGGCTCCCCACGAATAGAACGGGGCATTCCCAACAAAAAAAAAATTGAAAAAAGTAAAAAGGGGTTCCAGTGTGGGAGGAGGCGGGAAGGGGAGGAAAGTGGCATGGAAGTGGCAGGAGTGTTAGGGAAGTGGCAGGGGAGTGGGAAGATGGCGTGTTGTCTCAAGATGCTTTACACATGAAAGGGAAAGGGGGGCAATTGTCGAGGGGGGGGATCAAAGAGATGGCTTCCGTTCATTATCGGGGGTCATCGTACACAGTGTCGCGGGGGGGAGGGGGGGGGGGGGTCGCCAAGAGGGGTTGACCAGAGAGGGAGCAGGTTCAGGGTTCTCTGAGATGCTTTGTGCGAGTGCCTTGACTAGGGCACTGAAGGGGGGGTGCCAAGGGAAGATGGTTTGCATTGAGGGGAGGGAGGGATTGTCAAGTGGGGGTTGCTTTGCTTGCATGGAAGCGGAGGGTTTCATGAATGCGGTGTACGCATACGGGAGAAGATGGAGAGCGTCAAGCGGTCAGAGAATTCCTTGCATAAATTTTGTGCGAAGGGGAACTACGGTCTTCACCCAAATAAAAAACGCCTGGTCGTTATGGCTGCATCTGGTATGAAAGTTGGCACGACCGGGCGTTCTGTTCTGGTGAAGACATTAGGGGGGTGGGAAGAGGAGACTTAGAAGTGTCTGGCTGTGGATGTGATCCCACTGGCAAAGAGGATTGGAGCCAGTGTCTGACTGTGGACATGTTCCACACAGACATGCAGAAAAGTAGATCAATCACAATTTTTCGCACCAAACACGTCCACATTCAGACACTTGCTACAACCCTCTTTGCCAGTGGGATCTCGCCCTT